ATGGACCTTCAATAACGAGGAGTGCCAGATAAACACCACCAACTCGACAACTTTCACATCAATCAAATAGAACCTTGAATACTATTTTGAAGAGGCGATAAAATGTAAGCTCAAGAACAAAGGTGCAACAATGGGTACATGGTGCAAGGGCACATTGCGTGGTACATTGGCATCTCTCGTGTCTTACTGCTCGGCCCTTTCAGTTGCTGGAGGCGCTGTTACATGTGTCTTGAATGCACATCATGCATTTTCTGCTAAATATTTGCTTTTTCAGTTGCATAGACAAAAGGTGTGTGTGATCTGGTGTATCATTACTTCTCATTCCCAATAGTGTAAACGTGTGCCACCAAACTACTCACCCGCACCCACTGCGCTCACAAAACTGACAGAAAGCATTAAAAGAATAGGTAGCCATTTCACCCATCAATTAGCCGTGTTAATTTTGGATACGCCTGCCTATCTGTTTTTAAATTTATAAAAAAAAAAAATTTCATTGAGCAGATTATTTACTGTATTCATAAAAATATCCACTAACTGCGCCTTTTGCTAGAGTTCTGTTATAGTTAGGGAAATTGTCAACTCTCACATTAGGCATACCATAACGATATCACCCCTGTTACGCGTTCTTAATAATTTTTGGCTGTATTGATAGTATCCCCATCCTCTGGTATTTGATAGTGATTCATAAACATATTTTCATGATATACATGTTGTCGGAATCGTACAATGGACTCTGATTTTTGTATAGTATATAAAATAAAGTATATTTTTATGATTATGGAAATTGTTTGTTGTTTTTTGCTTTTATTTATTACTATGCATAGTTTCCTAATCACAGAGTTGCCCTTCTGTCCTTGCAAAATAGTTCTCCACGTGTTCATTGTTCAGTGGAATTGTAAAAGATCAACTTCTCTTGAATATTGTGTAGCTAAAAGGGAATGAAGTGAATCTATGGTGATTCTGTTGTCAGAAAAGTTGTGTCGATTTTATAACTGGTTTTAGTAATAATGTATTCGTTTTTATCATATTCACCGAATGGAAATAACTTTTTCTTTGCAGGGATATGAATGTGGCAGTATTTCTAAACCAGGGACCATCGTGTTCGATGTTAGTGTAGCGGATTTGTTATATATATGCCTTGCTGGGAATGAAGAAACATATAGCATTATAGCATTAGCTATAGCATTCGATAGAACTTCGGTACTGATGCATGCATGAACGTTCACATTTTCCTATTTCAACAGGACAACATAGAAACTGTGCCCCTTCGGGACACTCATGTGGATTCCTAATTCTATGTTTAAGTAATAGCATTGATGAAATGGTTTTGAGTGATATGAAATAGTTTTGCATTATTTCTTAAAATTTTTTTTTAATGTTACTGAATTACTGAAATCGAAAGGGCAGGAATTGGAATTGGAATTGGAACGTAATGTAATAGTTTCAGCAAGAGTGGGAAGAAACAATTTATCTCTGTCAGTAAAACAAAGTATTTTTTTATACATAATTTTAATAAATAATCAGAAACATCACAAGTTAATCAACAATTTTGAAAAAATCAATATGTTTTTGCAAACAATTGTGATTAACTGGTGGGGTTGTTTTAGACGCAGTTAATTACGATGGACAAAAATAGATAAAACTAATCTCTCAGAACTTGAAGCCCACCGAAGCTCTGTAACGTTTTCAAACATTCACAGAAGGGACCACTAATTGTGTTATTCCTTATAATGAGATGTGTTACGCCTCCTTGCTGCATGGTTCGGTGCCTTCTTTCAAAGCGTGCCTTCGTCAGATATTAAAAAAAACACCCTCACTTATTCAGGTTTCAAATTTAGTCTCATTTGAATATCATCTTTTAATCCTCAGTCGAACGTCATACTTGCCAAACAACTAGACAGAATTCATCTTGAGCCAATACATTGTTACAACTTTTCTTAATCTACAATAATGCGCAGAAACCCTTTAATTATGCTTCAAACTGGGGTATCGTTCACAACCGAGAAGAACAACGAATTAAAATGTGAATTTTATTTTTCAAAGGTTACTGTGTTTAAATAATTATTGACAAAAACGATTAATAAATAATAGCATGAGCAAAAACACAATGGGTTGATGTAAAACATCGAACTTGTCTTAATTTCTTTTTTCAATACGGCAGATTACGGGGACTTTTGTAATTTAATGATTGCAAATGAAAGATTTGTCAGAGATGTGATGTCGGGACATGTAATCAGACGAAATAATTAATGATGAATGTCCAAATTCCCTTGAAACCTCGGCATTATCAATACTGTAAAGTTACCCGACTATACATCTTTCAGATAATACATCGAGTTGGGTAAATTAAACAATACTACTAGTTGTTGGCACCACTCCTTCTCGGTGTAACAACGGTCCCCTAATCACGCACACCTTCTCAATACCACGCTACGCCCCACCCGCAAAATCGCTGCTGTACGCCCCACCCTCAACAAGCTACCCTACGCCCCAACCACAACCTCGCTACCCTACTCCTACTTCCCCAACCACTCCACCCCCACAACACATTCACCCCTCTCTCTGACTACATCAGCAACAGACAAAGGGGTAACATAGTTTTCTGTTATAACTTCATAAAGGCGATGAAGGAGTTAAGGGTCATTCTGGGGATATTCTTTGTAGGAGAATTGCTTTCAAACTACAAAAATCTAGATCTTATCATCAAAAGATGAAGGTAAGGTGAGGGTAAAATAAACTTACTCATCATACATGTCTAACAAATGCTGATAACAGAAAAACAGTGATTTGTTTGTGTCACTGTATATATACACACACACTGTAGCATTATAAATCAAACAAAAGTTGGTTCATCTAGTTGTGCATGGATATCTTCAACTACTTAATTCTATATGATGTAAATTTGAGATAAAAAACAACACTGAACCGATACACATACGCATTCATGTACAGAGATTCATAAGTCAGTATGTCCGATTCCTTGAGAGGTATCCTTTGAGGTTGATACCTTGCAAACTCTCATATTTCACCAGCTCAGTAGAAGGTGTCCTTAGCCTACTTAAATATTAAAATAACGAATTTACTATCTTGTCTCCTACCTAAAATATCCATATAATAGGTTGATTAAAGAATTATGTTTGTGTTACATTTCCCCCTCCACTGAACCTACTGTGTTCACTGCGCGTATAAGGATCATCACATGCATCTCCATCAAACCGCATTGGTTCAAACAACACACGTGGCAGATCAATTTGTTTGGGGAAAGGATTCAAGCTGAAAATTACACGATAGTGCAATCCCTGGCATTTAAAATGAAATGACAATAATTCAAAACTAGTCACAGTGGGTTATTTCGGCCCATGCTGTCTCTATAAAACTGTTTTATACATCCCTAACAATTGGTGCGTTGCGTTGTGTGTATTTATTCTTGACTGCAGCCCGGGAGACAAAGAGGGACTCAGCACAGAACAGACATGCTACAGGGGAATTAAGCTGTGTATCTGCGCGCGTCTGTTAGATACACAAACAAACAAGATTGGATATTTTGGCGGAACACAAACATACGACCATAAAATAGTCGAAAATGTAGCGATGGCAGAACGGTATGGGGAAGAAATGGGAAACGTGAGATGATGCCGCAGCATGCGTTGGAAACTCTAGCTTGTTGACAGTCGTTAATATAATGCTTATATAACACGACAGGAAAAAAACTCCCAGTGTTGAGGACATGTTATACAACGGCATGAAGTTTTATTCATATTGTCATGAAAGTGTGGGTAACGCGATTGCTGTTATTGAAAGAAAACTTACATATTACTTAACCATAAAACACACGCCACGATATGACATTTAAATGGATTATAACAGCGTGTATTATATAAAATAAAAAGCTTCCAACATTGGTGAGAATTCTTTTGTACGAAATATACACATAAAGATAGGAATTATATTTTATGTTTCAATTTTTTCACCAGAGACTCGACAGACGTCAGCGTAATAACCTAACACACACACACACACACACACACACACACATATATATATACATGTAATGGGCAAGTATGACGTCATGACGTCGTGTCCGACAGTAACTTGTGCAGAGTGTAGAGAAATGACGTATTTGATATCTGTAGGAAGATCTGATCGTATGTTCACATCTGGGAGTGTAGGTAACAGTTTCTCGTGGCAATAATTGCCGTATGCTTTTAGCACTAGATTGCAATAACAGTAACTTTGCATTCCAATTATTTGGTTGTATGTTATTTGTCAGATGACACTAACACTGAATGCAATTACTGACTGTGTACAATCAGAGGTATCAAATCACTTGAACGAATTTACGAGATTCCAGCAGAACTGAATAATTAACATGGTATCAAATTCTAATATATATGTTCCACACGTCTTTCAAAGCATTTCAGTTATATAAATTAGTGTTAGTTTTCACACGGAACGATTGTTTGAAATACAAATCACAAATATTAAAAAAAAAGTAATAATCTGAAATTATATATATTGCAAGGACGTTGTAAATAGTATTGATTGAATTCATAGTAAATAATGGTATGACTGAAAGAAGATGAGCATTAGAACAATTCATACTGGTATCTCTGTACAAAACACGAAACATATATTGATACACCATACTATGTATTAATATCAATAACATATACCATCACACTATAAACAATACATGATGTATTCCACATTTCTGAGATATCGATATACCCCTTGTCATTAACCGTTACGAAATAATGGTGACTGGATATGACTAGACTTGCACGGGCATATGTGAAGAATAGGATTTCATGACTTTACAATAAGATATATCAGTTTCAATTATGTATCTAATCTAGCATGTAAGTTGCATAACACAACATATATTCCGGTACATTCACAAACACAAAGTTAGAAGATCTAATGGAGGAAAGATGGCTAAATGTTTTACTTTAATGTTTTGCTGCCTGACTGATTATTACTGTAAAGGGTCCCCGGCCTACCTGACGAGGGTCGATCAGAGTATCTTGTGCAGTATACCCAAGCAGGCCACACTTGCGCTGGCTTCACCTCCGTCTTCCCCGGGGGTGGTAGAGCTGATTCCCGGGGGGCAGGGGATAGGGATGGGGAGGTAGATCGCCTCTTCAAGTCCACTGGCGAAAACGCCGAACCTATTCTCACTGTAAACTTTTTCACACCAAAGTCTGGTTTAAGAATTTCATCAATGGAAAAGTTCGTTAAATTTTGAACTGCCATTTCATGTCCTTGACTATCGGAATCATTGTCCCTGTCGTGGCAGTTTGGTTGTGAATCCCCCATGTCTGTCTCTGTATCTTTCTCAACAGGCGATGATAACACACCGAGCTCTGTCACACATCCATTCAAACCGTGCTTACTTCATACCCGAGACATCTACACTCAAAAACACACTTGTCGTAAATCGCTATCTGGGGGCGTGGCTTTTGTTGGAGTGGCGTGTCGACTCGACCAATGTGTGCTCTAGATCGCGTGCTCATGCTATGAGCATAGTGAGTGCGATAATTGAAAACAAATCGAGTGTCCCGCGAAATGTCTCGTTTAATAATTAACCCAGTGGTCTTGTCCACAGACAGATTTCACGCGCTTGAAATCTCCTTAAAACTTGGGTTTAATGACGTTCAACAGAAGTAGTGTACATTGACAATCGGGCAGCGACTGATATATTCAGCAATGGCATTCCAGTTCACCGGATGATGGGCGATTTTCTGGAAAAATCAGTCGTGAATTTATATGAACAGCTTGGTTAAAGAATGACACTAGGTTTGTGTCTGTAGGCGTCAGAATAAGAACACATGAACAAGTCTACCCACAGAGAACGTCGGATGGCGGATCTAAGGCATGGGTGTATGTAGAATGCCTGAAAACAAAAATATATGTCGGTATACATGGCTGACTGTAACGTGAGGCGTGTTTGTGTGTGTGTGTGTGTGTGTGTGTGTGTGTGTGTGTGTGTGTGTGTGTGTGTGTGTGTGTGTGTGTGAGTGCGCGCGTGTGTGTTGTGTTTGTGTGTGTGTGTTTGTGTGTTTGTGTGTGTGTGTTTGTGTGTTTGTGTGTGTGTGTTTGTGTTTGTGTGTGTTTGTGTGTGTTTGTGTGTGTTTGTGTTTGTGTGTGTGTGTGTGTGTGTGTGTGTGTGTGTGTGTGTGTGTGTGTGTGTGTGTGTGTGTGTGTGTGTGTGTGTGTTTTGCTTTCATGGATTGAAAGGGAAAGCTTGTATTTGATGGTAGATTACTCAATTAATATGTATAGATCGTTGCGTTAAATAACTGTCAATGCTATTCTATGTAAAATGGCACATATAATATATTACGCAAATAGGTATTCCTGTTATCATTCATTTCAATAACGTTCAAGAATAAAATATTCATACACGACGTTGAAAGATTGAACCGACAAAAGAATGCGAATAAAATAAACGGAATTTTGTGTTTACAATAATTGTGTCTTTCTAAAATCCTATTGTGTTTGCTTCATTGTTAATCTGTAAACAGGTAACTTAAAATATTGCAATGCTCGTTCCCCAATAATAAACATCATTTATATTATTTGTTAACCCTTTTAAGCGAATTATGTGTGTGTCGAGTGCTTACCATTTCCACGAACACCTGGTGCCGTCACTGATTTTCAGTTGTCCATTCATATAGTTTCACCACTCTTATGTCTTTTGCTCCCGTTAGAAACTGTTTCGTCAGAAAATCGAGACTGGTTTTTACCTGGCGTTATTCACACAGTATAAGGAAGTGAATAGAAATCCACTTTATCAGCAATGAATATGCAACCATTTTTCGATTAATATTTTTCGATTTTATTACCACTAACGAAGAGCTTAATAAAATTAAGCTCTTCGTTAGTGGTAATAAAATCGAAAAATATTAAGCGAAAAATGGTTGCATATTCATATAACCTTCATAAATGTACTGATCGGAAGGCCGTGATATCCTACATACAACAAACACACGCGAGAGAAAACATCGGTGCCACAAACATCGACTGGAAGAAAGAAATGATTGATGAGGTTGGTACTGTAAATTATTATCGCACTTTTTTAACAGAATAAATATGTGTAATAACTAGACGTGGTTGAATGGTTACTATCCATCAGTCCGTCCCTTTCACTCTCTACGTGAATGCGGAGGCAGCTCTGACGTATTATTGTAAACATATCAACTGTGTTAAGTGATGCATGGCTCATTTAAACAATAGGAGATAAACACGTAATTATTCCACAATTGAAATGTAAATGTAAAATTAACGATTTAAAGAAAAGATTTAAAAAGATAAAAGAAATTATGTCCAAATGAAAGGTTCATTGCTCAAGATAAGCCCCCGCCTTTTCATGATTATTCATACTGATAGTTTGTATCGCTGAGAGGAATAAGCCGTCCATGTGTCACCACCAGCTATGCTGTATTCGACACCTTATTTCTTGTATGACGGGTTATACTTGACTGTATTTGAACGATCGCATGAATATTGTTTCAAAAAGATAAAATCAGAAAATAATTAAGGCAAGTTGTGGTTAAAACAAGGGATGCACACAGCTTTCAGCTGATGTTAACACAATAGGGAAAAATACAGCATACACTGCAACATATGGTCATTTGCTGTGATACCATGGCACCCAATTTCCTGTTAAAGAGCCTAGATACATATATATCACCTAGTATCTTTCACAGGACAATTCATGCTACAACAAAATCCTCTCGCTATTTTTGATGGTATCTTCACATAATGAAAATTAATAATGCGTTGACGCCATACTGGTCTTGTTTAAGGACGTCGCTATTACCATGAGTTCCGATAGCTCTTTATAGTCGTCAGGTGAATGTGCAGAGGTGAATCTGTCAATAAAACAACCACTTAATCTTGTTCTGGTTTATTTTGGGTAAAAATAAAGAGCTGGAAGACGATTTCTTTTTTGCTTAAATAACAATAAATCTATGATTATTTCTAAACAGATGAGATTAATATGAGATTAATACAAAATGTACTCATTATATGCTATAATACATGTATAAACATTTCATTCTGTAACGGTATATTTCGTCCGATGACTTAACACATCAGTTGTTTATACATCTTCATACACACCACAAGGTTTGTCTCATCAACAAGAAGTTACTTTGTATTCTGAGAGCATTCAAGGGGAATTTACCTCGGGGTTTAGAAGAAGCAACTTACTGGTCTGGGCTTTCCATTGAGATGTGTGCTGCATCTTCACATCATACTTAGTCGGAATATCCTCACTAGCAGAAAAAAACCCTGACAGATCTCTTTGACGCCTCTGGTGCCAACAGCAGTAGATATGGCGGTCCATCTGTGCCGAATACTAACAGACTGTTTTTGAATACGCAAATCTTTTCATTTTAAGATTATTTATAGGTAGCTGTCAAAATAGAATATCAGGATTATTTCAAGATTAAAAATAAATTCAGGTACACATTTGACATTTTAACTTTTACATTCATCATGTATAATACATATACTCCTTATCCATTGGTGTTATAGTTATTGTTAATACTGCACTTTTTTAAATTTTAGATTGATAAAAAGTTGTTGATTTGGTCAGCGGTATCTTGCGCGTGTTACAAATAATGACAGTAAAATATTTGGATATCTAATTTCATTAATCATTTTTGTTGACTTTTATTGCAGATTGCAATTTGACATTATTGTCCTGATTTGTCACCCATGAAAGATTTTAGAATGGTTAACATTTGGGGCAAACAACATAAAATATTGTTTTTAAAAATGTCTAAAAGATTTTTTTAAATGGCACGTAGATCATGGAACAGTCCTATGATATCCTAACGCCATATCATTCCAGCAAACGCGCATTTTATATTGTAAAGGGATACAGAAATATGCACAAAAAAAATATGCATAAGTGTTTTAGCAAAGTTCATTGCAGTTTTCGTGTGTGCTTTTAAGTCAAGGGGTTGTGTCGGGTGGGGCTGGGTGGCCACTCGCCTCGTCACTACAGCACCCGTACAGGTTGTAGCCGAGCCTACACAGGCCGTGCAGTCAAACCGCGCAGAGTATCATAATCGATAGTTAGCGTTAAAGGTGAATCAACGGGCTTGTAAATGACGGATTGATCGAATACTGTTTATTGGGTTGGGATGGCCCGAAGCCCTCCTGTTCGGCGGGATAACATGTCTTTTAGGAGAGATTTTCGCCTCAGAACATTTCCCGTAATGGTTGGCCTTATCACGCCCGACCACGGAGTATTACCACATCTTTCATGTTGATTATTTTATTGCATGAGGAATTTTATTGAGCAGTTTTCATTTTTTGGTGACAGAGGCGGCCTGGCACGCGCGCTCGAGCGCAAGGGAGGTAATCGAGTAATCCAATAATTGCTTATTTCCGAGGGTCGTAAGCGACACTGTGGTGAGCCATGAAATTCATTATGTCAGGGAATATTGAAGGATGTTTGTGTAAAATAATAATCCAGATGACAAATTGTTCGCGTGAGATAAATTTAAGAAGTGAAAAGTTCTGGAAGTTACGTCTGAAGTAGGATTCCACCACGTCTATTAACCCTTTAAGGTTCCAGCACCTTCATACCCATGTCACGGTTGCATTTGAATGTCCAAACCGTTTACGATGTCAGAACTGAAAACAACATGTCCATATTTTGAGAAGTTAAATACGTTTTGGTTATTTTGTTTACACGATATAATTACTTAGATCATGATGTCTGTCATAAGACTTACTTCAGTTTACCATTTACATGGCGGTAATACAGTTAACTCCTTCAATGTAATGTATCGGCACTCTGCAGTGTAATGGTGAGGTGAGGTGAAATTGGGTTTAACGTCGCGTCCAAGATTATTGCACTTATATAGCGACGTGCATGTACGTGTGTATGTTTGTGTGGCTGCTTGTACTAGTCTGGACTGATGCCGATTTATAGTGCTAGCTCACTGAGATACCATGCCGCAGTTTAACATGAATACCCCACTCAGACACAGTATACTGACTCCGAGCCGACCAGTCCTTGTTTTAGCCCCTTAATGCCGAGCGCCAGACAGGGTAACAACAAGTACCATCTTTTAACGTCTTTTGGTATGACGCGGCCGGGGATCGAACCCCGGGCCTTCCGCTCTCCGGGTGGACGCTCTACCACTAGACCACGGAGGCGGTCCTACAGTGTAATGACACCAGATATCGCCTCTGTGGGGCAACACTATCGTCACTTAAGACTGCAGTGACGAAATATGTTGCTGTGGGCAACACACAGTTTGGGAGAATTTAATAACAAAAAATGAATATAAACATTTTCCAATCGAATAATGATAGAATAAATACATATAAACAGAATAAAGCGTTTTGCATATTGACATGTTCATTTAATAAACGTGATTTGCAAGAAGTCGAATATTAACTCCAGCGA